GACCCTTGCCTAGTCTGGATGAGGGTCTTGTGGCCCTCGCCGGCCAATAGGCAAGGGTTGCGACCCTCTCTTGGATCTAGGCGAGGGTCTCATGCCCTCGCCTATGGCTGGTAAGGGAGTAGAGGCCCTCACCCATGGTCGGTGAAGAGCGGAGGCCCTCGCTTAGACCTCACCTGTGGTCGGCAAGGGGTAGAGGCCCTTGCCCAAACCTCCTTATGGCCGGCCAGGGCTGGCTAGCAACCTCGCCAGCCCATAGTTAAAAAAAAAGAAAAAAAAGAAGAAAAATAAAAAATAAAAAGTAACATTAAAAAAATTATCCACGTTAGCGCCTGCTGTGCCACGTAGGACGGTCGGCATCTATGTCAGCGATTTTTTGCCAAAATTAGTTGGATAGACTATATTGGTAAATTATCAAAAAGATTTAAGACTCGATTGGCATAATTAAAAGGTTTAGGATTGAATTAGCACAAGTGCAATCGATTTAGGATTTTTGGGGTACTTTTTCCGTGAAAAGAAAAGAGAAGGTATGAAGAAGAAAACTGTGAAACTTCATGGTATGAGCTGATAAAGTTTGTGCGTAGGGTCTAAGCGAAAGGGCGACCTCGCTGAGGTCGTTTTCTTGATGTAATCCAGCTTACTTTGGAGATGCAGGCCTTAGCACGCGTAATGTCATTAAATCACAAGGATTTTTATATTGTCCAACACGTTATTTCTTGGTTGGTTTCTTCCTGGAATGTGGCCTTCCGCAATCTTCATCTTTGGTGTTTTTCATCCCTAACGCGCATATGAATATTCTCAAGTTAATCTGATTTAAACTAGTGATAATTATGACTCAAAAATAAATTATCATGCAATGATGCATCCAATTCAAGAAGTTAAGGGCGCGGATGATAACTATTTTGTTTCATAAATCAATTTTTGGTTAGAAATAGATTTTTCTATTCTTATTCCATGGATGAGTTTTTTAGCCGAAATACGCGTTTGACAACAAAATAAAATTTTTGTTCCTAAAATAGAAATTTGTTTGATAATGACGCAAAATTTCTCCCTCCCGGGCGGCCGGCCCTAGGAGGCGGACGGCAGGCGGTGGCAGCGATGATAGGCGGTGGTGGGTGGCTGGCCAGTAGAGAGAGTGAGCGATGAGAAGAGTTTTTATTTCTCATTTTTATTTCAGAAATAGAAAAATTAAAAATTTTTATTTCTGATTTTTGTTCCAAATCTATTTTTAGAGTAGAAATTTGTTTCAGAAATAGAAAAATGAAATTGCGTTACCAAACAAATTTCTGTTCTAAACATGTTCTCAAAAACGGAAAAATAAAAAAAACAGATAAACTTAACGGTTATCATGCACGCCCTAAGTTATTGCAAGAGAATATATAATGCAGAGGCCGGAATTCACTAAATTTAAGAGGTAAACATTGTTAGGCATGAATAAGGAATCAAGAGAGGGGTGAATTGGTTTTTTTTTTTTTAAAAGAGAACCCAGTCTAAATTTGTAAAATCAACCCAATAAATATATACTTCTACGCGCAAAATGAACTAGCAATATAAATAGTGGGAATTAAAGAGTTTTAGGGAAAGAGAAACTCTAAACAAGATTTATAGAGATTCGATTTGGGCGTGCCCACTCCTATCTTCTAACTCTAGCAACCCACATAAGCCTATTTTCACTAGTTATGCTGAGAGAACAAGTACCATCATGTTACAAGTGTTGAACCTACTGCCTCGTAAAATCTAATTATCTACCATAACAACCCCGCTATATGCTAAGTAACTATTAGACCCTTCAATAGTTATTCTCTTGTATACATAGCCCAGTAGATCCTTTTCCATACCTATAAACCACACATCTAAGGTTTACAAAGAATCCCTTGCACAATTCGTCCCTTATCTAGACAAATGCCTTCATTTTAGGCACAACTACTTCTCTCGTGTTTTACAAATGGGTTTATCATTCTTGCTAATTCTTAGACACTCAAATGGTTATTATAAAATACAAAAGAGACGAACTTAAAAACCTTTCAACAATGCTCAAATTCTCTTATTATTGCCCTTGACAAACTAAAACTTACTTTTGGCCGAGTTTTTTCCAATTTATAGAGTTTCAAATTTAAACGTTGCGCTTGACTCAAGTAGTCGTTATGTCCATCTAATTCTCTATAAAAAATCTCAGGAAAATTCCTTGAAAAAAACACGCAAAACCTTGCTTCAATTTGGGTTGTTAATCATATTTTTGTTAATGGCTGGTTTTGATCACGCCATCACATCCAAGCATGGATAATTAGTTAAGAAATCAACATCAAAGCAAGTTCTGATAAGGCCAGATCCCATTAGTTGATTAGGCCAAGAAATCATATACTCGATTAACTCTATTTTGCATAACAGACATGTTTCTGATGGCAACATGTAATGTCTAAGTTTGGTACGAGCAAAATAAAGAGATAAGCATTACATATTAAGAGTCGAGTACTTCCTCTTTACTAAAGTAAGGATTCTGCTTTAGTAATGAACCTCTTGTTCTACTCTCCTTCATTCTGTTTGCCAACTTGCTCCCCATCTTCCCCTTAGCCGTCGATATAAAAATGTTCAACGTTCCCGTCTGCAATGGAGATACCAACACAGGAGGATTTGTCAGATACCTTTCAATATCATCAAAGGCTTTCTGATGTTTCTCCTCCACTGTAAATACATCATTGTCTCTCAACTTTAGCAAAGGCAAGAATATTTGCAACTTGCAAGACAAGTTAATTTGAGATAAACCTCCGTAAAGCATCAGCTTTTGGTATTAACATTTGCAAAGATTCTTTATTCAAAGGAGGTGGCAATTCCATAATCACCTTTGCCTTGTTCCCATCAACTTCTATTCCCCTTTGTTGCGTCCAGAATCCTAAGAAATTGCCAGTAGTATACAAATGCACGTTTCAGAGGATTCATTTTTAAAGCATATATTTGTGATTCTATTGAAACGGTGTTCGAGTTTGATGAGATGACATACCTAGTTGAATTTTACTACAATTGCATCAACTCATACCTCTATGAAGTCTTCAAGCATTCCACGGTGCTATTACCTAAGCACACTTAACATTGAAGTTTCAATTCTAAGTATTGTCATTATGTTAAAAGGCACATATTGTAAATTAAATCAATTTCACATAGTTAATTAAGGAACATGCCCTTCTCTTCAATGTGCGATTCAGTTCCTTCTTGCCCCATTTGCTATCCTAGATGCTTGCTAGGACCAACTCCTTGTTCGAGCCCTATCGCTCTGGCGATCACTTCCCATCCTCATTAGATCAGGCCACGACAAAGTCGAACTGAATCAAGCCGAAAAGCTGATCAATTAATACGAAACTCTAGGCCGGCCCGGTGGACGCTCATATTCTCAATAAAAAAAATAATTTCGAAAGAATTACTACCTTCACAAAAACTAATTCCAGCTTCCCAAATACCGATATTTTATAAAATCTGCTAAAAGGGTGTCATATCCTCCAAGAAGATCTACATGCCCGAATAAGCTGAGTTATAAAAATAGCTCTATCACTTCAAAACCTGCATACATGCATTGTCGAATAAAAGATTAAAACTTATAGCCACTTGCACATACATACTTATCAAGTCAGGATCCACGCATTTATATTGTGACGCACCAGAATGTCATGCGCAGCATATATCATTTTCAATTATACATCGTAATTATATCAGCATCTGAAAGCACAATAAAATTTTCAAAACGCACCTTACAAGAGATCGTATGACTTTAATATATATATGATTTTTTTATATTAACACCACTAGTTATCGACTTAATACAATATTCAAACAAATACAATACATCAAATAAATTCTAGGAAGAAGGTCGTATTTGTCGACACATGATTTTTGGTCAAGTTTTTAATTTTACATAAAAATCATGAAAATCAGGATTAGGAACCTTGGCCATGCTTAGGAACCTATTCCTAAACAAAAAATAAATTTTTTAGATTTTTCTTGAATTTTTCCTTAATTATTTTTGGCTAAAATGAGAGAAAAATCAAGAGAAATACCAAATGAAGTTTATAAATGTCCCAAAAATAGCCATTAGTCTTATTTTAATGCCAATTTTAGCCCTGCAGTTTCAATTTTAGAAAATTTCAATTGAGGATATGTTTTTCCCAGAATTGGGTAATTTCATATCCTAATTGAGCCAAAAATCCAATTAAGTCATTTTTAGTCATTTTTGGGCTACAATGTCTCCACAACAATTGATTTTGGGACCTTGAATTGCATATTGGTCAGTCCAATTTCACAATCTGACAAAGGAATTGAAAAGCCCCAAATTAATTGAAAATTAGAGATTTTAGGACCTAAATTGGGGATTTCTTTCAATTTGAAAATTTTCATCAAAGTCTATACCTTCCCCAAGGGTAATTGACCGTGGGCAATCCAATTTTGGCCACGTCAGCTCCAGCAGAGTCATGTAGGATGATTGACGTCCACATTGGATTTTCCAATGAGACAAATCGTCGATGGCACTCAAGTGATCAATTTTTCAAATTTGTAGCACTCAAGTGAGCGAAAAAAAAGTTATGATACTCAAGTGAGCGCCGTACAAAGTTATGACACTCCTAGTGTTCTTATCCCTGGGTCTTCTATTGCCTAGCGGAGATCATCATCCCCTTCCGCCCTTCAGTAAAAAAACGTTTTTAAGTATTATAATTTTCATTTCCTACCCAATTGAAAAACTATTCTACTCTTTATACCTCGGATTTTACTTTACTAATTTCATTCGTATTATGTGACCTTATTCAATATCCCAAATATGTCACCAAACACTTAATTGGAGAATTTGTGTCGTATCTACCATCACTATATAATGCCCACTTTTAACTTAGGAGCTCATTTGGCTGTTAAAAATGTTTTCAATTTCTTGTGGGATCTACTAAGTTTACCATACAACCGATCAAAATCCTGATTGAAAATTAATTATAGTGCATGCAAATGAAATAGTCTGTTCATGATGCGAAAACGAATATGCTTGGCTCGTATACGCTTAGCTAAACAATGTGTGCTAACCGTGATAAAGGGATCGTTCTGAAAATTACCCAACATAATTTCGTCCATTTTTTTTCAACGTTGTGTCCGCAAGTCTACTTCGGGGTCAATCCAAACTCGCTGAACAACACCGGGTTGGATGAAACTCAGTCGATACGGACAAAATACGCGCCTATAACTTTCTCTTTACAAAGACTTAAACCTGGCTCCCGCAGTGCTGCTTGCGACATGGACATGGTCAACGACTACCGACAGGCATCAATCTACCCTTAAATAATTGAGTAAAGGAGTACCAGAGCGAGGCCTCCAGTGGACGCTTTTCCTAGGAAACTTCCCATATAATCTATCACTCAAGAACCTCTCTCGCCCTTTCCTTTCATCTCATTCTCCGTTGTTGCTTCAAATACCATAAAGGTCTGCGTTCTCTGTAAATCTTGGGAAGTGGGTTTCAGTTCTTTGAAGCATCCTCGGTGACCCATCAAAGTTTTGGATTCTCTTTGCTTGTTTGGTCTGTGAAGAAAGAAAGAACAAGAAATGTCAGTTGATCCGGTAGGAACTGCTGTGGGAATGGCATTCGGCGAGCTGTTTTTGCTCGTTAAGGAAGTAGTGCAAACCGTTGCCGTGTTTCATGATCAGCTCAAGAAGATTGAATCCACCTTGGACTCCATAGTCCCAATCATGAAAGACATTGACGAGTTCAACAGACGGATGGATCGTAAAGACATGGGGCAGATACAGGCCCTAATTAATAATGGCAAAGACCTTGTCAAGAAGTGCTCGAACATCAAGGCGCTCAACCTGTACAAGAAGTATATGCACTCGAAAAAGCTGACTGACTTCGACGCGACACTCGCCAGGGAGTTCCAGATTTCCATGCCACTGCTGTCTGTTAGGAATACCGCGGAGATATTGGGGGAGGTGAAGGAGTTCCGAGAAGAATTCAGGGTGTACCATTCCGGTCAAGCGAACAACGGGGCCCTCCAGAGCGGGCTCGGGGCTTCGGGCAACCTCACGGTCCCTGAGGCACCCGATTTCATCGTTGGGTCGGAGGTGGAGGCATCCTTGAGGAAGCTCAAGGGGCGGTTGCTTGAGGAGGGAGTGTCTATGATAGTTGTGACCGCCCCAGGCGGCTGTGGGAAGACCACTTTGATTACAAAGTTGTGTCATGACGTGGACATTGAAGGTATTTGTGATTTGTTTTTGATTGATCCAGAGCTAATTAAAGTAGGGATGCATTTATTGATTGCTCCTTGCCAATTGGTCACGTCTAATAGTCTTTTGTTTACCAATTTATGTGTATAGGAGCTGTTACCTGAACAATATTCCACTTTTGCACATATTTGAATGATCGATCCCATTGCCTGTTCTCTCTATCAAGCAAAAAAGTCTCTTGTAGATGTGAATGTTTGCACAAAGAATTGCTTGGGTTTTATGCAGATGGATGTTCATCAGGTAAAAGAAACTTTTTCTCATCATATAATTTTGGGTTGGATGTCATGTCCTATCTGATAGATCTTTCCCAAGCTTTTTGATATGCAATAACTCGCCTCTGTTTGATTGCACTGAGTGCCTTTCTTAATCAGCTGAACCCTCCTCTTCACACGCCAAAGGCTTCAAACTTATTTTTTTATGCTAGATGGTATCTACTTACCTCTGTTTCTTATCCTACCGAATTCAATAAACTAAAAGTGTAGTGGAAAATTTTCGTACTCTTTGCAAGCGATAGGAGTCAGACTTACTGTTGCTTGATATAGGCAAATTCAACAACAATATCATGTTCATCCGTGTCTCGAAGAAGCTCAACCTGATGGACATTGTCCAGAAGATGATGCAACATAAGAATTTCCCGGTACCCACGATTGAAACAGAAGATCGCGCAGTTCATTACTTGCAGCAACTGCTTGAAAGAATAGGACAAAATCCTGTGTTGCTTGTGCTGGATGATGTCTGGAGCGAATCGAAATCCATCCTTGATAAATTTGTCTTCAAGAAGATCAAAGATTACAAGATCGTGGTGACATCAAGATATGAGTTTCCTGATGTTAGTTTTGTGCATCACCTGAACCCACTGAATAATGTTGAAGCCCTGGAACTTTTTCATCGATCTGTTACAGTTGATGGTAGAAGCATGGTTGTACCAGATGATCTCTTGAAACAGGTATACTCTTGCTTGCATGCATCCATTAATTGATTTCTTATGGTCATCAAAACTGAGTTAATCTTTTTCTTCAAAGATAATGTTTAACAAAATCAACCTGTCTATCCTTACTTTCATCTCTCTTTCATCAAAGCGGGGCCTTGGTTTTTACTAATTTTTTTCCCGTGGCAGGTAGTGAATCGCTGTAAGGGATTGCCATTGGCTCTTACAGTTGTTGCCAAGTCTCTCCGAGGAAAGGATCCTTCGTTCTGGCAAACAAAGCTCCTTGATTGGTCTGAAGGACGTACCCTTTTGGGTTCAGACAGTGACATTCTAGATTGCCTCAGAAAGAGCTTGGATGACTTGGATGGTGACCCTTCAATCAAGGAACGTTTCATGGACCTCAGCTCATTTCCAGAGGATCGCAAGATCCCTGCCACCGCCCTCATTGATATGTGGGTGGAATTGTACAACCTAGATTTCAATGGTCTGCGCGCCGTTACTGACCTCCATAAACTCATTTACAGGAACCTAGCTGATCTCGAAGTCACCAGGTATGGCTCTGAAGTTCTCATTCCAACTTTTCTAGTTTTCTACTGCTCTAAGAGTATCTCATCGGATTCTAGTTGGCATCTTTTTAGTTTTTCTTGATACGTGCCAGTTAGAATTCGTGAGTGAAATGAACAAAGGCATGATTAGATCTGTGCACCAAGATTGAGAGAGTAATTTATGCCACTTCATAACCCATAACTAACCCCAATAAGTTTAGTTCTTCTGTAGCGCAACAAACTGTTTTGTTACCCAGAAATGGGCACTCTAGATGGTTTGCATCCACACCACAATTACTGCACCTGACCTTCACCTATAGTGAGTTCCGCAGTTGCAAAGGTCAAATGAGTAATCCATAAGCCTGATAACATTTTAACTCCTGGGTTAATTTCTCAAAAGTGGAAAGATCATATGTTCTCTTTTACTATTAAATTAAAATCGCCAAATGCCGGCACTAGATTTTAGCACAAGAAACTTGAGCGCAAATGCTTATATCCAAGTGTTTGATTGCATACATACAGGAGAGATTTAACTGACGACGATGACAAATCTTACAGTAGCCACTATGCTATGCAACACGATCTGCTTAGAGAGTTGGCTATCATAGAGTGCAACCAGGGGGAAGTAGAGAAGAGAGAGAGACTTATTCTGGACTTGACTGGAAATAATTTTCCCGATTGGTGGAGCGAGCAAAAGCAACCGACTCTTAGTGCTCGTCTAGTGTCCATCTCCACAGGTTGGGAACTCTCTCTCTCTCAATAACCTGTATGGAAATATTTTGTTGATTGGTAGTTAAATTGCCTTTTAACCTTCTATGTTCATAATGCAGATGGAACATTTTCAACCCCCTGGCCAAATCTTCAATTGCCTGAAGCTGAGGCTCTTGTCTTGAACTTCGAGACCAACATTCAAACCAAAACATATTGTTTGCCTATATTCATCGAGAAAGCAAATAAGCTCAAGGCCCTCATAGTAACAAACTACAGTTTCTTTCCGGCTGAGCTAGGCAATTTCCATGTCATCGGGTTCAATTTAAGGAGGATCCGGCTCGAACGCGTCACGGTTCCGTTGCTAAGCATGGGAAAGTTACGCCTGCACAATTTGCGAAAGATATCCTTTTTCATGTGCGACATCAGTAAAGCTTCGACGTTGAACGACGCCAAAATCTCCGATGCAATGCCAAACTTAGTGGAGCTCGACATCGACTATTGTAATGATCTTGTGACATTACCAGATGGCATCTGTGAGATAAAGCCTCTGAAGAAGCTTAGCATCACAAACTGCCATAATTTCTCCGCACTCCCTGAACAGATCGGGCAATCGGCGTCCCTCGAAGTGGTTAGGCTTAATTCCTGCACAAACTTGTCGCAGTTACCAGACTCGATTGGAGCTCTCCAAAAATTGATATCCCTCAATATATCTGATTGCCTGAACCTAAACACTTTGCCCAATCAAATTGGTCAACTGGTTAATCTCAAGAGGATGAGCATGAGAGGATGTCCGAGGTTGTCTGTGCTGCCACGGTCAATCGTGAAGCTGAGGAACCTGAGGAATGTGGTTTGTGACAAAGAAAAAGAAGTCATGTGGTGGCCTCTCAAGAGCAGTCTCAATGGCTTGAATATAATAGTGTCTGAAGAAGAGGCTAGCTTAGATTGGTTGCGTGATTAAGAAGAGGGCGATTGTTCCTGTACTTTGCGCTTTTTTTATGTGGACGGCCGAGCCATTGCTGACTGGACCAAATAATTGATGAGGAATGCCACATCATTGTGTTATTAAATATTTCCACGTCAGAATTTTTTTTCCTTTTATTTTTTCTTCTTCCCATTTCTTTCTTTCTTTCTTTCTTCTTCCTCCTCTTTCCTCAACCACCAACAAAGCCGCTGCGAACCATAACCACCGCATCCCTACCATCACCGTCGTCGCTGAGACCTAACTCGTGGTGCCTTACCACCACGACCACTTCAGCATTGTCTTTTCTCTGCCTCTCCGACCACAAGATTCTCTCTATCTCTCTAATCTGAAGTGCAAACTCAAATCCGAGCCACTGCAACCTCATTGGAGTGGCCTTAAATCAGACGTTGCGACCTCGAATATGAGGTTATGAGCCTCATATCTGGAGAGAGAGAGAGAGAGAGAGAGAGAGAGAGAGAGAGAGAGAGAGAGAGAGAGAGAGAGAGAGAGAGAGAGAGAGAGAGAGAGAGAGAGAGAGAGAGAGAGAGAGAGAGAGAGAGAGAGAGAGGTGCTTGTCAATGTCATCCGAGCAAAGCTTTTGGTGGTGTTCGAGCATGGCTTTGGTGTGGTGGTGGCTGTCTGAGTGGCGCAACGGCGGACAATCGTTGCCGGTGGCGGTGTTGCTACGCCAATGGTGGTGCTGCCCTTTCTTTTCATGAGAGAGAGGGAGAGAGGAGAAAGGGATGCCACGTGGAAAACACAGTATACAAGTTAACGGCATAAGTTCTCATCAGTCGGTGGCATCAAATTTTTAAGGGAAAATATAAATTGAAACAATTTTCAAAAGTTCAACATTAGTATGCATAAAAAAAAGTTTAGGAACGATATTGAATATTAAGAAAAATTTCGAAGACCACTGTGTAGTTACTCCTGATTGTGAAACATTTCTCAGAGACATGGACAGATTGAGTTTCAAAAATAAGTATGGCCCAAGAAAACGAATGTGAACATGTATAAAACATTGCTTCTTTTTTAATTCCCATTTCTCCTCTTTTGCTCTCTAATACAATCTCTCTTACTTTTTTTTGGAGCGTGTCTAAATTAATATTTTCTTTTAACTTTTTACTTAATTTAAAAATTTTTTCGAAGTGATTTTTACCATCAACTTTTTGCCCTTTTTTCAAATCTTGCGACACACGTAGTTTGATTTTTTTTTGGAAAATGATGCCTATCACGACCTACCCTTCAAGGGCCACCTCGGGCATAGATTTAGAGGTAATTGTTTGTGAAAACATTCCAAATTGCATATCCCAAAAGACAGCTCAAAAAGCATTATTTTTTTTGTTCATCCATAAGGTCCATCAACCACGAACGTGGACTCTCCCTCAGTCCATACCTCGCATGACATGGGTTTATTTTTATGTTTTTTTATCAATTAGGAGTCGCCACTAGCGCTTATTGGGGGTCGGCTAGAATACCCAATCGAAACGCGATAATTTCGTTTCGATTCTTACAGAACCAGAGACATGTTGGGCCGTTGCTTGCGCACTTCTGATGTATTGATTGTTGTTTCCTTAGCCTCGTTAGGATTACAACTCTAGGATCCACAATCAATAAGATTGCTACGTGAGCACTTTAGGTGATCTTTGAATTAGGCTAGATACTGAAAGGGCATTAGTTTAGTAACTAGTGTAATCAAGTCCTCGAACTCTTTGAATCTTTGGTTCGTAGGAGTAAGGCGATTCTCCCGTCGCCTTACTTGGGTTTCTAATCGATCCACCCTAAATTGATTAGTGTCGACTCCTAGATTAAATTGATTTGCATGTTAGTAACTTGAATCTTAAGTCGTGAGTTGGTATGGCCATGGGAGAGCTCGAGTTAAGTCCTGGGCTTAAACTTAACAATCCATTTGCCATCAAACCTCAGGACCTAGCCGCTTCAGGGAGGTTGCAATAGCTTGGCGATTCCACTGAGGACTTGATATTTTTCTTAGTGGACTTAGGCCATATAATCTTGTTCAATTGTGTCCCTAACATGAGTGTTAAATGTTCTTATAGTTGGGAGTTATAAGGGGATGAGCGATTGTTGACCCATTTGTTTTGCAGGTTGGAGTTTGGGAATGTGTTTATTTCCCAAACCTTTGAAGCGGTGCTTGTTTATAAACTATTGCGCATGCTTTAATGTTTGGTACTACACCGTTGCCCACACAACTATGCTGCTGGACCTGGGCCGCGATAGGATATTTTAGTATGGTGTTAAGAAAGATACAATCTCGAACGCGAGACTGCGGTGTAGAGATTGCCTTTTTTTCCCTGAAGTTTCTTTCGTTGTGTCATAAGTCATCTTTGTCCGCGAGACCGCGTGACTGTAGAGTATTCCTTTCGACTGAGTCGAAGTTAAAAGGACGTGATACCAACGCGAGACTGTGATGGTCAGACAATCCTTTTAGCGTCACATTGCTAAGTTACCTACATAAAAATCGAATCTCACTTTCCATGTGCATGTCTTTGTGGTTTCCATGGTTCTCGGTGAAGTAAATTCTCAATCTCTCTTACTTTGCAATTTATTTATTTTGTTTGGTCGGTCCATGACAACTTAGGTCGATCATTGATTTAATTCTTTTGTCAAGTGAAAATAAAATGAAAAATTGCCATGGAATGAATCATTTGAAGAACAAAAAGAAAAAAGGGAAATTTGGAGAATTTTCTCTCAATTCCTATTTTATTAGGGAGTTTTAAATTTTCGTTTTCCTAGATCATGTTTAGGAAATTTGATTTGTTTGCAGGATATCTTTCTAGTCCATTTTTCAAGAAGTTCTGTTCTTGTACAAACATTTCCATTAACGAACGAAATATGAAAGGCAGGACTAGACTAAGTCATGGATTGATCCCTTTTGAGGTTTCATACTTATTCCGTGCCATTTATTAACCAGGTAATCACGGATCGTCTACATTCGCCAATCCGAACTCGCTCAAGAGCAAAAGCAAAAATGGCTGAGGAGGATATGTCAATCCATGTTGCAGGCTGTTGACACTCAAAATTAACCCTGGTGGGAGCGGGCCGGTTACAAGTCACAAAAAATATAAAGTACGGCCCACATGGCATAAATCCAGAAAAGGCCGTGAGTCAGGCCCAGAAGCATCGAGAAGACTTGAGGTAAATATCGACGGGACACGTCATAGAAGTGTCGACAAGTCCGAAATCACGAGCTTTGCACGTGACATCAACGAATTCAAGATCACGAGCTTTTCACGAGATGTCGACAAATTCAAGATCACGAGTTTTGCACGTGACGTCGACAAGTCCAAAATAACGAGTTTTTCACGTGGCCTGAAATCATGGTGACACGTGGCGAAAAATCCATTTACACGTGTCAAAAAGTAAAGATATGACCGTGGGCGTGAAGATCAAGAAAGTTAAAGAATGGCACTTAGAAAATAGCAAGAAACAAAGAGACACGTGGAAGAAAATCAGCTATTACGTGATGACCAAGGAGCGTAAGCAACATCGATAAGTCAGGAAGCGGTTAAAGCGCGAAACGTAAAGAAGTGGAAAACAATTTTCAAGGAGAAGTGTTCAGTCAACAGTTATCAAGCTGCTCTATAAATACTCAAGGATTTCCAACGTAGAAGAGACCTCTTCGAAAAAACAACACAACACGTCTTTTATCTAGCCTTTATTCTTAGCGCATTAGGAGTAGTTTTAGTTGCAACCTTCAGATTCTGTGTCGTAGATTCAATTTCGACGAGGGTCTTTATCAGGTTCAGAATTGTTGATTAAATTCCAATGTTGTGCCACCAGTTCAGCGTCGTCGATTAAATTCCAGCGTTGTGTTTGGAGTATAGCTGTTGATTAGATTTCGGCCATATTCTCTCAAGTTACGTCATTGATTAAATTCTGGCGTACTTCGAATGGTAATGTCGCATATTAGTTGTGTCGTTGATTAGATTCCGACATAGCTATCTCAACATTTGCAAGTTGTCGTTTCATTGTTAGTGTTGTTGAGTTTGGCATCATATCGAGTCAAGGTGTAAGATCTAAACTGGGATTAATAAACGCATTTGACATTCTCTGTCCAAGCTTGACTCAAGACCCTAGTCTCCCCTAATAAAATCCGAAACGCAGCGTTCGGTGAAAGATTTTCAACGGAGTAAAAACTGGCGAAATATCTTTTTGGCACGCCCGGTGGGACAGTTATTGAGTTAAGTTGAGAGAGTGCTATGCCACGCACCCGGAGTAGAACCAACTCGGATAATACTACTGACGAACAAGCTGCATTGATGGTGGAAGATAATACCCGTGCTGAGACATCATCCGCTCAACTTCTTCATACCGAGGTTGCTAACTAATCTCGAGAGGAGGTCACAGATATGTCGAGGCAACGTGTTGAAGATAGAAGGCAAATTGAGCTTACACCAGTTGCACTTTCTACCATGAGGCGGACTATTGAAGAAACTCAGAACGAGTTCGCTGATTATGTGGTAAGGCGTATGACTGAAGTGGTTAGGCCTTTGATCATTAACATTTATCATGAATGCACGCAAGGTCAACATGGAGGGTCCATCGCACCGACCCAACTGAGAACAGGGTCTCCATCAGCATTGGGGGGTCCTGCAATACAGTTTGGAACAATGATGCAAACTACGTCTACGATCCCACCCATTCGAATATTACCAAGGGGCGAAACCTTGCCAATAGCACCCAGCGAAGGATTACCGCACGCTAGCGCGGACCCAAATGGAGGAATTGCTCGACAATCGGTGATCGATGAAAACTTCCAAAGAGGACATCAGGTTGCTCAGGTACAAGGCCCCCCTGTGATCTAGGTAAATCCTCCACCTGTAGTCCTAGATGTTCAGAATCTTGCAACACCTTTATCTAGGGGCCAAGAACAGATCCAACAAATAAACATTCAACCACAACGTCATCCACCCCAACCTGCAGTGCCTAACGTAAATCAGCATTTTCCACTCCCTATGAGTCCAAATGTTCAAGCCCAGCAACCATTGCCAGCACAGTTAAACCCACCAATCAACCCACATATGATTGCTCACAACGTGCCACAGCTAATGCAGCCACTACCTCAACAACAGCCACAGTTACCAC